TAGAACAAGTAGTCTGTTCAGTTGATTTTTGGCTGTAAGATTGTTCAAATATTGTTTTTTATCTAATTTTTAAATACTATTTTTTTATCAGATTATTTTAAACATTGTTGTAAACGTTCACACAAATGGAGCTCATTGGCACAAATTCAGCTTTTTTTTCATTTTCTGACTTCATATCGACTGTCATTGACTTGATCTTAAGACAATTATTTTTAAGCGGTTCACATATTGATCAAAAAATTACTTTTTTTGGTCTTTGATGCGTAAGCCATAACATCTTAATGCAATAAGGGTTGGAAAAAATCGTTGATGAAAACAAATCATCCGCTTGTTCATCAAAATTCAATTGTTCCTTCATGTAAAATCCAAAAATTTAAGCTATCGAAAACGTTTGGCTTGCTTTTAAAAAAAAACAATTCGGGACAGTATTTTTTCCATGCTACGTCTGCCGTCAAATTTTGCTGTCTTTTAAGCTACTGGACTAAAATTAATGAGCTTATCGACGGGAAATATGTGCAATTGTTCGAAAAAATTTTGTTTTTTTTTGTTCGAAAGTCTCAATTTTTTTGTTATTTGGTCATAAATACCACTGTTGTTTGATGTTGAAATTTTCTCTTTTGCATAACCAACAGTCATTTTGATTGCGTATTGATCTGATGATGTTGTTTTTAAATTTTCCAGTTTGCCATCATGGCTTCTCAAAATGGAATCTAAACTAGGAATTGATTCATTGGTTTCTCTTGTGGGTCTTTTTTGTTCAACGAATTTTAAGTTTTTTTGTTAAATTTAGTTTATCATTTCAAAACGTTTCTTTGTATTTCGAGCCCAATCAAAATAATTTTGACTACACTTTTTGGGTTTCGTTTGCAATGGAGAACACTTGCAAATGTATCTGAAGTGTTTCCAGAGAAATGTTGTTCTTTAATGTTGGTGGAATATAAACTACCGTTAAAACAGTACTTTTTTGTGCAATATGCCCAATGATTGAAAATTTAAGGTTTTTATTGTTAACGCTTTTTTGACATTTTTGCACTTTTAGTCTACCTTAATAATCACACCAAAACCACTCTCATTTTTTTCCTGCATCTTTTTTCTTTCAATCTTTCTTGACAGCGAGCGTATGTTTGGCAAACTGTATTTTTTGCGCAGATTTAAGAGTGACCTTATCTAAAAAATTGTTGTTGTTCTATGGAATACCTTTTTTGTTTTGAAGTTGTCTAGCCATTTTCGATTTTTTCAAACTTTTGATTTGTACTAACATTATAGGCTAACAACCAATGAATTGTACCAACAACAAATGATAAAATTATAGTTTGTTTCAATCTTACCTAGTATGGAAAAAAACTTGAAACATAAGCTATTGATGAAATTTCAACTTATTTTTACACTTGAATCGCGGAAATCTCTGTTCAATGCTATCTATTAAAAAAACTATCTTGTATTTGCGGGAGTAAGGGACGGTATGTGGAAACCTCTAATTAAATACACATGTGTTGTGTATTGTGTATTTCATTCGTAACACTCCAATTGCGCATGATCTAGAACCCGACAAAATAAAAAAATACAATTTCACTAAGGTAAACATTATTCAACTAACTTAATGCTCCTATTAAAGAAGCAAGACATTATGATGTCCTCTTTCTCTGGCCGAATCCTTCTTTTTGGAAATAATGTCTTTCTCTAGCCAGATTATAATTTCAAAAAAAGCAGTCAGTTGAATTGTTTATGATTGTTTACCAAGAATTGTGGTAGAGCTGAGGAGTTGTGGCTTTTATATCGATACTTGCAAGTCAAAGATGTTGGAGCTGAAACATGAGAAGGCGGAATGGTGCGTTGATGACCATATGCATTAAGATAATTTATAAATTTTGGGTCTTCCGCGCTATGTATTAAGAATGCGTATGCAATTTTAATGTAATAACATTGGGAATAAGGCTGGTGGGGTGGTGTAAAAAAAAAGGTATTTTCGTAGATTTTGTGTAGAAACCTTTAATAACCTTTAAGAAACCTAATGGGTGAATATCATTGGTGTGTTAAGAGTAGGGTCCAAAATTAAAGTATCTTTTTATGTTTTTTGGTTCATGGTAAGTCAATGCTAAGAGTTTTTGCCAAAAAATTAAACGTTTTCTCTAAGAATTTCAGAACACAATAAGATTTGATATAATCTAAGCTATAGATTGTTTTATTTGGCGTTCTATCTACTTATGATCTATATAGCTGAAAGTATGTTGAAACCGATTGGAACGTAGCTGAAACTTTCAAAAACTTGGATAAACTGTCAAAACAAACTTAAGTCGAAAATATTCAGGAACAAATAATTCGAAACAAACCAGCAGCTGTCCAAACTTTAACTTTTACTACATCTTTAAATACACCTAGCCATTTTTTTTGGTCAAGAAAGTATCTACTTAGTAAATCAGATCAGTTCAAAAGATTAGTTTCAGCAAAAATTTTGGCCATGATTTGATTCTACATTGGCTTTTTGTCAAAATTCAACCAATTTTTCTGAGGGAAAAAAACGCTTTATGTCTAAATTAAGGTTAATTAAAACAGTAATTTTTCTCAGAACTTCTCTGCTAAACTAACATGAACTCATTTGATCAATTTTTTCACACAATTATCACCCTAGTTTTAATTGACACATTTTGGATAAAAATTCCAAGTCAATTTTCAGTAAAGTATCTGAGTCTCGATCAAAATTTTAGTCTTTTAAAACTAAAACTGGAGGAGTCTCATCGAAATTTGGTCGAGAAAGTCGAAACATAGAGAAAATTGGTCGAGCAAGTCGAAAGATAGCAAATTTTTGTTGAGAAAGTCGAAAAAGAGCGATATTTGTTCGAGAAAGTCAAAATATAGCGAAATTTGATCGAAAAAAATCGAAACATAGCGAAAATTAGTCGAAAAAGTCGAAATATAGCAAGAGCTGCTCGGGGAATTCAAAACATAGCAAAATTTAGTCGAGAAAGTCAAAACGTAGCGAGATTTGTTCGAGAAAGTCGCAACAGACCAGCAGCTGTCCAAATTTTAATTTTTATTACATCTTTAAATACACCTAGACTTTTTTTCAAAAACATATCGACTTAGTGAATCAGATCAATTCAAAAGATTAGTTTCAGCAAAATTTTTGGCCATGATTTGATTCTACATTGCCTTTTTGTCAGAATTCAACCATTTTTCTGAGGGAATAAAAAAAACCGCTTTGTGTCTAAATTGAGGTTAAATAAAACAGTAAATTTTCCCAGAAGTTTTCTGTAAAACTACCATAAACTCATTTTTTTGTCCAGTTTTTTCACACAATTATCACCCAAGTTTTTCATTTAGAACATTTTTTTATGGAAATGTCTGAGTCAATTTTCAGTAGTTTATCTGATTCCTCATCAAAATTTTAGTCTTTTCAAAAAAAACTGGAAGTGTCTCAGCGAAATATGGTCGAGAAAATCGGAACAAAGAGAAGTTAGGTCGATATAGTCAAAACATAGCAAAAATTGGTCGAGAAATTCGAATAATAGCCAGATTTGGCTGAGAAAGTCGAAATAAAGCAAAAATTGGTCCGGAAAGTCGAAACAAAGCGAGAGTTGGTCGAGAAAGTCGAAACCTAGCCATAATTGGTCCAGAAAGTCAAAACAAAGCGAGAGTTGGTCGAGAAAGTCGAAACCTAGCCATAATTGGTCCAGAAAGTCGAAACATAGAGAGATTTTGTCGAGAAAGTCGAAACATACCGAAGTTTGGCCGAGAAAGTTGAAACGTAGCGAAATTTGTTCCAGAAAATCGAATTATATAAAAACTCGGTTCAGAAAGTAGAAACATAGGAAAGTTGGTCCAGAAAGTCGAAAATTAAACAAAATTGGACAAAAAAGTCGAAATAGACCAGCAGCTGTCCAAATTTTAACTTTAAATATACCTAGCCGTTTTTTATTTAAGACAATTTTGAAGAAAATTTCCGAATTAAATTTCAGTAGTGTATCTGATTCTTAATCAAATGTTTATTCTTTTCAAAACTAATTAAAACCAAAGCTGGAGGAGTCTCAGCAAATTTTTGTCGAGAAAGTCGAAACATGTCAAAGTTTGGTCGAGAAACTAAGAAACATAAATCGAGCAACTCGACTCGGGTAGGTTATGCCCATCCGTGAGTGGTATTCACATGCTACCGTTTGAATCTGCTTAACGTTCAGTGATATGAGTGGCTTCGCTTCACTGCATCTGCACAAAGTGGTCCCCTGTGGGAGAATGCAGGTGAAACTGTGCTGGTTGGTGGAATAAAGCACTGATGAACAAACCATTACACAGTCCCTTCATTCCACTCAAGCGAGACCTCAAACAGCTGCTCCATCTAACCGAAGGGCAGTTGACACAACTCACCAACTGTCATTCATATGCAATCAGTAACTTTAAATTATATTGATATAATTATTCAGCAAGATTCAAATAATCAAAACTTGGCAATTAAATCAATTTGAAAAATAATAAGATTGAAATTGATTTCAATTTGTTTAGTCAAACCAAAACATACTCCGGCCAGCTCCTTTCATTTCGGCTACTTGATCTGGAAAGGGAAAAACGTCGATTCTGTTTACAATAGCGATGAACAAACTTGAAAAGCAGGAAACATCACTTCAGAAATGGATGGAAAATAACTGATCTCACTTACAGGTCAGCATTTATCCATATCATCAGAAGAGAACCAAAATAGTTCTTCTCTCTGTCCTGTATATTTCTGAAATCTATTTGGTTATTTTGATATTCTGAGGAATAGAAGCAAAGTTGGAATAAAAGGAATTTCAGACTTGTGGCATCAAAGATGAACTTGAAAAAGAACTCAAATTTGAGTTAAATTTACTTTTCTCTTCCTTTTTTCAGTTGTTTTTTCTTAAAACAATGAAACGTTATGTCAAGTCAAAATAATTCCCATTTATTCCAACTACTTTTAATTTTTGACGTTTATCTTTACCGTCCCCTAGTAATCAAATAATTATAACTTCATTCGTAAGCAGCACCTTTTGATGACTCTTCAACTGCCCCCGAACAACGGAAGAGTAAAATACATCACCTCTTCTCTCAACTCCCCCATGAGGGGGGCAGCTGCAGATCCCTCGTCCTCATCAGGAACAGACAATGCCCCCCACTCCCCTGCTCAGGGGATCAAACAAGCAGGGGGTCAGTCTGGGACAAGCAGCAGTGACAAGTGTTGTGGTCGTCGTCAGCATCCGCGGCAGAATGTGCAGACGATTGACAGAATGCCACAATGGTGAGACTCATAATTTATTAATAATTTAAGTATATATTTATTACATTTAGTAATCTCAAGGTCGCATAGCACCTCAATTTGATGGCAGTAGTTCAGCAAATTGCCCTCGAATGATATGCAAAAAAAAATATGTTTATATTCAGGGGCTGATCTAGGATTTTCTCGCGGATTTTCAAAAATTTTCAAAAAATTTGTCAAACTTCTTGTAGGTCGTCCAAATTGATTTTCTGAGCTCTCCCAATGCACCAAAATGACCCTATTTTGGCCAAATATTCTGCACCTCAGGCAATTTTTTTTAAAAAGGCGTTTTTAGGCCAAAATTTTGACCAAAAATTGGGTTTTTTTGGCGCTCGCTCTCCCCTCAAAATTAGTATATATTGTTGGCCCCCTAGCGACTTTAAAAAACATTTTAGTGTCCATCAGCCAAAAATGGATATCTCAAAATTGTACAAAGGGGGGAGCTTTTGGGTACATGACTTCTCAAAAACAAGACTTATAATCGAGAGGTTAGATGTTAAAGTTCGGTAGGTTGGCGTAGTTTCTTGTGGATACTTTTGCTGCATAGTATTGGCATTTTAAAAGCAACTGTAGCTGCTTCACTGATTGCTTGTTTTAGACTTTTTAGTCGCAAAACAAGCAATTTCGATCAAGAAAATAACTCTTCTTTTCGCTAATTTTCAGAAAGTCAAACGACTATGCTTGGACAAGGCTGGTTTTAAGTTTTATAGATGCCATGCGAATTGAATCGTTTATTTTTGATAATTTACAGGCTAATATAACTAAAAAGTTTTTTATTGTAGTTCAAAGGTCCACTGTTGAATTATTTGCCGCAGTTCATATATTCGACTTCAAGAATATTGCGTAACAATCTGAAAACTTCTCAAGGATCTAGTATAAAAAAATTTTATCGTCATTTTTATTAGTTTGTTTCAATAATTTTAATCAGGCAAACAGGAAATCTGCACCTAGTTTCCTACATCTGCTGGGAAAATCCGGAGAAGTCCCCCCTCTCCTCCAACACTTCTCAGCAGATCGCCCCCCACCACCACACCCACTTAGTCTACTATGAGCCACAGAGCAAAGCCAGCTCAAGCCACGTGCCCCCTTCTTCCTATGAGGGGCACTCCAGACATGGGGAAGGGGGTGGGGGTGGAGGTCATAACAACCGGGGTAGTCATTACAAGTACACACGGGCGGCCACTCAGCCCGTCTTTGGGCCCAAATACACAATGAGGTAACATTAGAGATCAATTAAATACGCGTCAGTTAGAGTTCAAGTCATTCTAGTTTAAACAGCTGCGTTTTTTTAAAGTTAAAAATCCTTTCTAATTTATACTACTCGTTTCAGAGCGAAGCCTTGAAAATTTTGTGTTTCCTTTAACGGATTCGAAGTACTTTTTGATATGAAAACCGTATTTTTGTTTGAAAAAGGGAAAAAATTAATTCTCTCCTAGAAATGTCCAAAACAATTAATCAAATTTGATTCTAATGCAGCCTTTTTTCACGGACTGAGGTCAATCGGTGCTCAATATCATCCCTTTTCGGATTTTACCGAACTTCGTTTGATTTTACGGGAAAACGCTCGCCTTTGATTCTTTTGAAATTGTTCATTTTTATTTAAGTTTTTATCGAAAACTCGCGTTTTTATTATTCCTCTCCTGATGCAACCCTCTGTCGTTCATGGTTTGACCTCGTTCGACCAATGATTTGACCTTCTTTGACCCTTGATATGAAAACCTTCGACCCATGCTTCGTCACCTTTAGAACTCCCGTACCCACTAAATTTTCTAAAACAGCTCTGAATTTTATTCTATTTCAGATTTAAATTTCAGATCTGAAACAAATTGTGAAATGTTTAAAAAATGCTTGGATACTTTAAGTTTTGGTTATTTCAGGTCTAATTTCAGATCTAAAATTAACCTATTCTGAAAAAATCTATTTCAGATCTGAAACTGGGTTTTTCTTGGTTAATTCAGATCTGAAAACAAACTGATTAAAATACAACTTTTCCTATTTTGTTTGTATTTGATAGCTTCTGCTAACTACGAGCAAGTATTCAGCAAAATCTCAAGTTTGAGATTGCCAAAAATGCCTCCTCAAGCATGAGATAGGCATTGGAAACGCATCATTAGTGCATGAAAATCAAAATTTTGACAGTTGTTCACCTTTTTAACACCGTTTGAAAAAAAAATGATTTTGAGCTTATTCCGAATATTTTTTACCACTAGTTACTCTAACATAATCCTGAATTTTTTCTCGAAATGCATGATTTATAATTTAATAAAGGATTGCTTAGATCTGATTTCAGATCTGAAAAAAAATTTTCAAGGTTATTTCAGATCCAAATTTCAAATCTGAAGTTTGTAAAATTTTATCAAGATCTAAAATAAAGATGTTCAAATCTGAGAATCAATTTATCTAAGAAATAAAGCGTTCAAGATCTTGCACAGAAAATACTCTGGGTACGGGCTATGATTCAACCTTTTTCGACCCATGACTTGAGCTCGAGCCTTGATTTGAACCTCGTCAACTCATGGTTCGACCCTGATCGACCCATGATTCGTCACTGTTTGACCAATGACTTAACCCTGTTTGAATCTATCGACCCTGATCGACCCATGATTTGTCTTTGTTTGGACAATGATTTAGCTCTGTTTGAATCTATCGACCTGGTTCGACCCATGATTCGACTTGGTTTGACTTAAGCCATCATTTGACCGTCTTAAATTTGAATCAAGAGTTCAAGCACCTCTGTCTGAAATGGTATGGTCGCTCAGCTTGTTTTAAAAGCCGCGTTAAAAAAAAACTTAAAAAAAAACGCGCAAACCTTGTTACGCTTGCAATGATCAAGCGTTATCAAATCGAAACAACATTTGTTCATTTTGTTGAAAGAATTTTGTTTTCAACTCAACGCTTGTCTACCTGGTTTATTTCGTTGATACCCGTAGTTTATGATTTGAAATAATTTATATTTAATCTAATTTGTAGTCAAAAATTTTTTTCTAAGTGTTTAAATAAAGAATGTATTTTCTTTAAATTCTTTAATTCTCATCTTAATTCTGATCAGAAATTAGCTAGCTCCACGCTATTTCTAGATAGAAAATTTCTCATGGTTGGGCTCGAACCCCTGACTTTTAATTTTCTAGGCAGTTGGGCTAACCACTATGCTACATGCCTTGAAGAAGATTGATAGTTTTAGCAGAATATAAGTGCTAGCAGTTATAACAAGTGTTAGTTTGCATCGTATTGCTGCTGTTATTGTGTAAACTCGAATCTTGTTTATCTCGTTGCGGTTAAGCAGTGAACAGATTTAATTTATTTTTTCCAGAAACTGGAATACACTTTTTCTGCTTAGAAAATACGAGAAAATTAGGCTTGATAATCTATAAAAAAATTTTATTTAGAAAAATTGCCTCCGTTGGGTACGGGTATGCCGCTTGATAAATTTTTCTGATTGCCTATTGAACACTGGCGATTGTATCTTTCGACATGATTTTCTGAAAGCGAACATCAAAAAGCGTTATTCCTGTAATTTGTAAGCTTACCAATCTTTATTTTGTCTGATCTCTTTTTTTCAAATACAAATTTTAATTGGCTGAAATGGTTTTGGCTCAACAGAATTGTTATTTTAGTTTGTAAATTGGCTGGCCATGCTTATTTTGAGCCATCCAAAAGTGGAAAATACTATTCAATGATTTTTTGTGTTTCAAGAGGGGTTGTAAAATCTTTTTCAAAACTTCATAGCTCAAAATTTTTTTATGACAACAAACTTGATCTCGCTTCATCTGGCGTTTACCCAAGCATTGGGCAACTCGATAGATTCTTCTGAATGCTTATTTGACTATGGTGATTCAGTGCCTTAGTTTTTTGTCAAGTTTTCATGTGTATGAAAATTTCGTAGTTTCTGTGTTATAGTTCGCTATAAAAAACCAAATAATTTACTTAGTTGATCAGTCTAGTTAATTATATATTTCATCGAGCGGAACTCATCGTCAACATTAAGTCATTTGTTAGATACACACAGGTTTCACTAATTTCGAGGAGTTATTTTCGGTTTGTGTATTTGTATATTTTTGTTAACATTCTAGTAAGCACACCACCATCATCTCCCCCTTCGAGGGAACAGGAGGGGTGGCGAAAAAGTTGGCAAGAGGGGAGTACATACCAACTAAGGCCGCCATCGGGTAAAGATTTAAAAACTCGTGTTGTATCATCACATATTTGACCTGATTGTAGCCATCATTCGATAATAAAAATAAATAAGTATACTATTTGTCCAAGCCAGCAGCATGAAAATCATTTGGCTCATTTTCATTACCAGTGTTTTTTCTATTGAGTAGGGGCGGATCTAGAATTTTTTCACAGGGGGGAGGGGATGGGGACGAAAGTCGACTAAATAGGTTTTCCACCAAGCACTCCCAGAACACTATAAAGGACTCTCTTTTGATCTTTTGATAAAATATTCAGCACTGCATGCAATTTTATGGAAAAATTGGTCAAAAGTGCCGTTTTTGGGAACTTTTCTGAAGTTTATGACCGGAAATTGTGTTGCGCGCTCCCCTTCAAAATTTTAAAAATTTCAAGGTTGGTTTGCCAAAAGTGGATGTCATAAAAATATAAAAAGAGAGTCTTTAGATTGGTGTGTGGATCGAAACCCTGAGAGGGGGCCGTCTGCGAACCCCCTAGCTTCCTATAACCGTCCCTAGCTAGTTTCTCCTTCTTGAGGGGCGGGGGCGGATTTCCGAAAAAAAAAGTCGTTTTTTTTTAGGTTGACTGAATTGATTTTCTGAGGTATTCCAAACCACTATAAAGACCCTATTTTGACCACCTTTTCTGCTGCGCCTCAGGCAAGTTTTTGAAAAAAATCAAAGAAGGCGTTTTTAGGAACCTTTTTGGAAAATTTGTACTAAAAAAACGCGTTTTTTCTGCGCGCTCTTCCCCTCAAAATTAGCATAGACTGGCGCCTAAGGCGCCCTTTAGAAAAACTTTAAGATCAGTCAGTCGAGAAATGGATATCTCAAAGTAGTAAAAAGGGGTGACCCTTTGGGTCGGCAGGGGTTCGAACCCCTGAAGCGGAGGAACAACCCACCCCCCCCCCCCCTAAATCCGCTGGCGATTAAGACTATTATCCCAGAATGCTCCTTTTGATGTCGGATACCAAGTTTTCACTTATCTTCATGCTAAATTGCGTTCAAAAACTAGCCTAGAAAAACAGTAGACGCTCTTCTAGCTAGGTAACATGCATTAACTATACAATCAATCTATGAGACTATGAGTGAGAGTGTATGTGTATAAGTGTATATGAGGATATCTGGCGCTCCCCCTGCCCCCATTTCAAAATAGCCAAAAAGGGATATCTCAAAATACTACAAAAGAGGACGCTATGGGTCGGCAGGGGGTCGAATCCCTGAGGCAGAGGAAGCGTCCCCCCCCCCCAAATCCACTGGCGATTAAAACTGTTATCCTAGAATGCTCATTTTGATACCAATTTTTCACATATTTCAACGCTAAATTGCGTTCAAAAACTAGCCTACAAAAAACAGTAGACGCTCTTCTAGCTAGGTAACATGCATTAACTATACAATCAATCTATGAGACTATGAGTGAGAGTGTATGTGTGTAAGTGTATATGAGGATACCTGGCGCTCCCCCTGCCCCCATTTCAAAATAGCCAAAAAGGGATATCTCAAAATAATACAAAGGAGGACCCTATGGGTCGGCAGGGGGTCGAACCCCTGAGGCAGAAGAGGCGTCCGCCCCCGCCCCCCCCCCCCCTAAATCCACTGGCGATTAAAACTGTTATCCTAGAATGCTCATTTTGATTCCAATTTTTCACATATTTCAACGCTAAATTGCGTTCAAAAACTAGCCTACAAAAAACAGTAGACGCTCTTCTAGCTAGGTAACATGCATTAACTATACAATCAATCTATGAGACTATGAGTGAGAGTTATATGTGTAAGTGTATATGTGGATACCTGGCCCTCCCCCTGCCCCCATTTCAAAATAGCCAAAAAGGGATATCTCAAAATACTACAAAGGAGGACCCTATGGGTCGGCAGGGGGTCGAATCCCTGAGGCAGAGGAGGCGTCCGCCCCCACCCCCCCCTAAATCCACTGGCGATTAAAACTGTTATCCTAGAATGCTCATTTTGATTCCAATTTTTAACATATTTCAACGCTAAATTGCGTTCAAAAACTAGCCTACAAAAAACAGTAGACGCTCTTCTAGCTAGGTAACATGCATTAACTATACAATCAATCTATGAGACTATGAGTGAGAGTGTATGTGTGTAAGTGTATATGAGGATACCTGGCGCTCCCCCTGCCCCCATTTCAAAATAGCCAAAAAGGGATATCTCAAAATACTACAAAGGAGGACCCTATGGGTCGGCAGGGGGTCGAATCCCTGAGGCAGAGGAGGCGTCTGCCCCCGCCCCCCCCCCCTAAATCCACTGGCGATTAAAACTGTTATCCTAGAATGCTCATTTTGATTCCAATTTTTCACATATTTCAACGCTAAATTGCGTTCAAAAACTAGCCTAGAAAAACAGTAGACGCTCTTCTAGCTAGGTAACATGCATTAACTATACTATCAATCTATGAGACTATGAGTGAGAGTTATATGTGTAAGTGTATATGTGGATACCTGGCCCTCCCCCTGCCCCCATTTCAAAATAGCCAAAAAGGGATATCCCAAAATACTACAAAGGAGGACCCTATGGGTCGGCAGGGGGTCGAATCCCTGAGGCAGAGGAAACGTCCGCCCCCGCCCCCCCCCCCCCTAAATCCACTGGCGATTAAAACTGTTATCCTAGAATGCTCATTTTGATTCCAATTTTTCACATATTTCAACGCTAAATTGCGTTCAAAAACTAGCCTAGAAAAACAGTAGACGCTCTTCTAGCTAGGTAACATGCATTAACTATACTATCAATCTATGAGACTATGAGTGAGAGTTATATGTGTAAGTGTATATGTGGATACCTGGCCCTCCCCCTGCCCCCATTTCAAAATAGCCAAAAAGGGATATCTCAAAATACTACAAAGGAGGACCCTATGGGTCGGCAGGGGGTCGAATCCCTGAGGCAGAGGAGGCGTCCGCCCCCGCCCCCCCCCCCCCCCCTAAATCCACTGGCGATTAAAACTGTTATCCTAGAATGCTCATTTTGATTCCAATTTTTCACATATTTCAACGCTAAATTGCGTTCAAAAACTGGCCTACAAAAAACAGTAGACGCTCTTCTAGCTAGGTAACATGCATTAACTATACAATCAATCTATGAGATAATGAGTGAGAGTGTATGTGTGTAAGTGTATATGAGGATACCTGGCGCTCCCCCTGCCCCCATTTCAAAATAGCCAAAAAGGGATATCTCAAAATACTACAAAGGAGGACCCTATGGGTCGGCAGGGGGTCGAATCCCTGAGGCAGAGGAGGCGTCCGCCCCCGCCCCCCCCCCCCCTAAATCCACTGGCGATTAAAACTGTTATCCTAGAATGCTCATTTTGATTCCAATTTTTCACATATTTCAACGCTAAATTGCGTTCAAAAACTAGCCTAGAAAAACAGTAGACGCTCTTCTAGCTAGGTAACATGCATTAACTATACTATCAATCTATGAGACTATGAGTGAGAGTTATATGTGTAAGTGTATATGTGGATACCTGGCCCTCCCCCTGCCCCCATTTCAAAATAGCCAAAAAGGGATATCTCAAAATACTACAAAGGAGGACCCTATGGGTCGGCAGGGGGTCGAATCCCTGAGGCAGAGGAGGCGTCCGCCCCCCCCCCCCCCCCCTAAATCCACTGGCGATTAAAACTGTTATCCTAGAATGCTCATTTTGATTCCAATTTTTCACATATTTCAACGCTAAATTGCGTTCAAAAACTAGCCTAGAAAAACAGAAGACGCTCTTCTAGCTAGGTAACATGCATTAACTATACTATCAATCTATGAGACTATGAGTGGGAGCGTATATGTGTAAGTGTATATGTGGATACCTGGCGCTCCCCCTGCCCCCATTTCAAAATAGCCAAAAAGGGATATCTCAAAATACTACAAAGGGTGACCCTTTGGTTCGGCAGGGTGTCCAATGCCTGGAAAGGAGGGCGTCCCCTCTAAACCCCCCCTTCCCGCCCCTCTGTAAATCCGCTACTGGGTGTTGCTGAGCAAACTGTAACTTCGAACTATTTTGAACTATAAAAGGCAGTGACTTAAGATTGTAACTGCAAAAAAATTTTACACTATAGTTGCACCTACTACAAGGACACAGTGCGTTCCGGCGGGTTTGGAGAAGGTTTTTGTTTTTGCTTAGCTATTCAAATCAGTGCATAAAATGGCCATGGCTGACCTTGATTGACAGGTTTTTGTCTATCAAAATCATGTTTTGCCTAAATTGGGAACTTGACCTTACGCTTAAAATTGGCGTTGATTAAAAAAATCTGATCAAAAAAAATGTCCATGCAATTTATTGCCTTTTTGAGCCAATCAAAGGCCAATATTTTTGAAAACTTCAAATTTGTTTGCAGAAAACTGAACCCGAAGTCCAATTTAACACTCATCAATAAATATCAATTATAATAGTTGAGTCCCACGAAAAACAAGTTTGAAAATTGGGCTCTGCAATTTGTGCTAAAATTTCCACAAACACAATTAAGCAAATGCGAACAATGCTTTCGAAGACTTTCAGGCCTTGAATTGTTTCCTCAGGGACCCACCTACATTTTAGAGACCCAACTATCCTTTTTAGAACCAGTTTTAAATAGATAGTTAGTAAGTATTTAAGAAGGCCATGCTACCCTATCTAACCTGGCAAAATCCAATGATAGTCTCTCTTGATTGTAGTACATAGTCAGGGATGTACTTTTAATAATTGCCTTACCACTTTTTAGCTTTCCTTTATTATTGGCTAGTGGAAATTAAGAACCCTCAATTATCGCATAATGGTAATTACTTGAAATATTTTTTCTTCTTCTATGAAAAACAGAAGTTAGGCTAACATATGCAAGTGAAAAGGTTAAGTGAAATTCCCGGTTCAAAAAGTTCAGTCCTACCGGTTCTGTTTCTCATATTTGCGTTTCAATCAATTGAGGGTGCATTCCTTTATATCGTACTGGAAATATTTATGAAGAATTTTTGTGCGTGTTTTGTCTTTGCGTTCATTTTTTGTCAACCCAATCCATTTCGTTCTGTTGGGTGTGATTAACTGTTGATGGTAACTTTAAAAGTTATTGTCCATTGAATTGGTCAAACTCTTGAAAAAGAAAACAACAAGTAATAACCCAGTAACTATTACCAGTAACCAATAATCTAACTATTTGAAATATAGTTTTTTGTTTGTGTGCAGACATTTGCCAAATGCGAAGACGAGATACCAAAGTGTGCCAACAGTCACTGGAGATCCACAGACACAACAACATCAACAACACTACTCGGTGGCCCCCCTCAACCACAACAACCCCAATCACAACTCCCCCTCCTCTTACTCCTACGCCGCCTACTCAGCCCCAGCCTCTACTCAACCCCACCCCCCATTACCACCAGCAGCCACAGCAGCAGAGATTAATTACAGGACATACTCTAACAATATCTCCAAAAGGTTATTTCCAAAGTACTGAATTGCCCGTTCGAGAACTCATTTCCTGTTCAAATTCCTAATTTGGATTTTGTAATTGTACCCCATATAGACAAATTACTTTACAGAAAGGAACAACTCAAGGGTTAGGCATCGTATGTGCCTAAAATCGGTACTTTAGAGCAATTTTTCTTCATTTAGCAATTATGGGGAAATAGTTAACAAGTATTATGTATTATATATTGTAATTAGACATCCCGTATCAAACCTCAGAAGATGAAAAAAAGTTTATATGAGATTTCTTTATCAATCTTGCAAAACTACAACTGAAATTGAATCAGTTAATTTCTTGTACAGGCTTACAACTTCAAAACTATTTAGGTTTCGATGATTTCATTTAAGAGGTTAACAATCCTTTAAAGTGTCTTTGAAAAAAGATCATATATAAAATTCAATGGGGTTACCAACTGCTTTTATGATACTAAACGATGTCTCCTGAATCTCATTGTAATCTCCTTTCAATTTGACTGTTATCGAACCGACCAAAAACATTTCTTATTGTTCCGACTTTCGTAACGAAAATAACTGAATATCTGTGTTCGGGGTCGCGGTGGTTTTTTACCTTCAGACAATTTTCAACTTTTTAACTGACCATTTTTGACGGAAGTTTTCCTAATCATTCAAGGCGCATTGTTGTCCAGAGCTTGAATTTAAAAAGATACTTCACCTTTGATCAATTTTCATGAAGTTGTGGGGGTTTAAAGATGGCCATTTTTGCCAATTGAGGACAATTAAATCGCCATATAATTCGCACTACAGTGCTGATTTAAATTATCCGGACTAAGAAAAGGTGTAAAAACTCAGAATTCTATTAATATTAACACCTAATTTACACTTTTTTTGACTTTTACGGAAAATTTTAAAACCAATTAACAAATACAGATAAAAATTAAACAAAAATCAATAATTTTAGTATTTGGTTTGATAACCATTATTTTTAAGAACTGCATTTATTCTACGAGGAATGCTCCGATATAACCGATGAATGTAGTCGTCCTGAATTGCCAAAAAAGTTTCAAAAACTTGACGAATAAGTTCTTTAACTGTTGTAGGGTGTTTTTCATGAATCTTCTGTTTCATGTAATTCCATAAAAAATCGATAATATTCAAATCTGGAGATTGTGGGGGCCAATTTTCTAAAACTTGAAAACCCTTTTCCTGGAAAAAAGTTGTCGAAAGTTTCGAGTTATGGCAACTGGCATTGTCTTGCTAGAAAATTTCGTCCAGATAAATGTTTTCCATCAAGTGCGTTTCAAGTAATTTGCAGTATTTGGCAGAATTTTTGTTTCCATCGATGTCTACAATATCTCTTTCCCCAGAAAATTTTATGTAGCCCCAAAAGATCACCCTTTTTCCTCCAAACTTTGCCGTTGGAGTAATTTATTTGGAATGATAACGCATGTTTGGGGGTCGTCTCACATAAACCTTGGCACTGGAGTATAATTCAACGATAGCTTCGTCTGAAAAAAAAAACACATTTTTCCGAAAAATGTGTGGTTTTTCTCAAAAATTTTGGCACCAATTTTTGCGTTTTTTTCTGTTGATGTCCAAAATTTTGGGTTTTTTGGCGCTGACTTGTGCTCTCAGTCCTTTCTTGACCAAAATTGATCAAATTTTGCCGGCGAATAAATATAAAGCTGGTTCAAGTTTCATTCGAAGCTCCTGAGACGTCGCAAAAGGATATTTTTTTGCTATCAAATAAATATAGTTTTCGTCTCTTTCGGTAGTTTTTTTTCGGCCGACCGACCTTTTTGGCGTTACAATAATTTCCAATTTCCAACTTACGGCATTTTTCTAAAAAATCCCAAGCGGTAGACTTAGGAACTTAGTTTTTTTCGATATTCTATGTAAACTGAAATTTTTAAGTGAAAGTTCCAAAACTTGGAATTTTTTCCGAAGCGAAAATAAGCCCGTAAAAAGGTAGCAAGATTTTTGTTTAGTTTTTCAAAATTCTATATATTGTTGAATGTAGCAGGAATCTGTAAAAATTATTAAGTTTGAATAATGACAGTTTTTTTAAAGAAATATTAACGCCCTGGTCAGTTTTATTTTCACACCTTTAGTCCGGATAATTTAAATCAGCACTGTATTAATGCGTAAGCGGAGATTTAATTCGTCTGAAAAATTTATCCAAATTGGTTAAATGAAACCTAACTGCCATAATTGATGTGTTATTAGGAGTGAAATTTATCACTTTGGGTTTTATATGCAGTATGGGGGAAGATTTTTACAAAAAATCTCGAACCAAAAAAAAAATTCTTTATATTTTAATACATTTTATATTTTCATGTTATTAATTCTCCATAGACCTTGAAAGGCAGTTGGAACGCTCAGGGCTTCGCCTTGATATGAGCAGTCCTGTTTTGGGTTCGAAGATCTCAAGATCATATTACCCCCCCTGCCAACCCTTTGTACTATTTTGTGATAACCATTTTTCAAAAAAATCTCCGAAAATGCCTTTTTTGTGCTGTATTTCAAAAATATGCCTGCGGCGCAAAAAAATTTGGTCAAAATGGGGTCTTTATAGTGATTGGGGAGAGCTCAGAAAATCAATTTGTTCGACATAAAAAAAGTGGACAAATCTCACGTAACTTTTTTGAAAAACCCCCCCTCGAGAACATTCTAGATCTGCTTCTCGTTGAAGCTACGGCATATCGAAAAATTTTACACAAACCACAAAATGATAAAACAAAGACGTCAAAGACGTGCGCAAAATTCAATTTCTGTTTGCAACTTTTGTAACACTAAAAAAATATTATCTAACAAAGCTGTATATAGGTTTGACTTTTCAAATTTAGTAGTCAGGATTTTGGTAGAAAATCGAAATCTACTTAACGATTGCACCCATCCCTTTTTAGCATTGAAAATAAATATTTCTGACCTCAAATACTTTATATTTAATCTAAATTTCTGGTCAGAAGTTCTATACGAAAAGCCCAAATGAAGCTGTGTTTTCCTTCAAATTTATCATCTCAATGGGGATCAGAAATTAGCTAAATGTAGGCTATTTCTAGCTACAAGAACCCGCTACCTGCCATTTGAGAGACGTATGTGCTAACCGCAAGGCGACATGAGCTAAAACATTCTAATACTTTTAACAATGCATTCTAATACTTTTAACAATGTATAACAAGGGTGAGTTTGCATTGTTTTGCTGTTGCTATTGCTTATACTCAAAACATGTTTATCTCGTTGAGGAGTGAACTAATTTCTGCTTATTTTTTCCAGAAATTGCTTATTTCTAAACTTAAAAAAGAAATGAATCATTTCTGTACAGAAAAGAGAGAAAATTTGGCAAGACAATCTATGAACCATCTATGTAAGACTCGAGTTTTGCTGCATTCTGATGGTTCGAAAGTTATTTTAACTTAACCTACTTAACAACTGTCCGCCGCCTTCCTGAAAGCCCGGTTTGACCGTTCTACAAAAAATCCCTTATTTCAGAATTTTATTTAAACTTTTTAGGAAATTTCCGCTATCTTACGTTTTTCCTAAAAGAAAAGTTCTAAGATAGTGTTTCTTAAACGTTTTTCTGTATTGTAGTATTGTAGAACTTTTGAAATTTAAGTTTTTTTCTAAACTAAGCATGCATAAGTTTTGGATAGTGATTATAATGTATGCATTTTGAGCAAAAAATCAAAACACAAATTTGAGTTTTGTCCCAATAATTTTTTTTAGTTATACGCACTAAAAGTTTCAAAATTATTTTGGAGACCAAAAAAAATCAACTTTGAAAATTCATATCATATAATTTTGGGCATGTCGTATTAGGGGTTCAGGTATATATCTACAAATTTTCTGATTATCAGCCAAATACTAACTCTATAGTTAGTGATTACTTCGAAAAACTCATGTTTTAAAACGATTATTTTGGTCTGCGAGATTCCGTTTTTGTGCTCTGCCACATCGGAGATTTTTAAACTAGTTATAAGAAAGTAATGAAGAAAAAACATGAAAAAAGAAAAGTTTTTGTAGGAAAGTATGTTGTTTTTCAACTTTCTTTTAAGAAAAGTCACTATCTTACATTTTTCTTATGAGAAAAAGACCCTGCCTTATAACATCCTCGTGGACTAAATTTGGTTGGTCTCAGTGAAAACAGATCCGAATGGGTCGAGTGATGTCGATCTTAACTCGAGTCTCAATGTTGACTTAGCCAATCAGAACATAAGTCGAAATTTGATTTCAATCTGCTTATGAAACTTCCTGACCAGTGAAATTGATCATTCTACAAGTCATTTTCGGGGTTTCAAAAGAAATCAAACAAAGTTCAGGAAGTTAAATAACTGTGTTTAAAATCAGGATGATTAAACAAAGCCACCACGAATTTAAGTAAAGTGCAAAAAAATCAAATAAAATTAACTTTTTGTAAAGTGTTGTCAATAAAATTGATTCCCATATCACCCTCAGCCAACGAAATGGATTAAAATTAGACACGCCGAATGGTTATCAAATTTAAAATTTGTTATAATCCCTTGAAGTCAAATGAAGTTTTCCTAACTGGGCGAAAAAAAAGAGAAGAAATTGAACAGCAGATAACCAACTTTAATTTAAAACGGGCAATGCTTTTGTGTACCTTGAACTTTGCGAGCTAAACAACATGTCAAAAACGAGAAAAAATTTATTCTAATAGATTTTAAATGTCTTTATCTATAAAAGTGAAAAATAATCGATTTCAACTTATTTGCAAGGGAATCAATGGCTCTAATAAATAATAGCATTATAAATCATTTTAACTAGATTATAACTAAATATATTTCACTTTTGAAGACACTGGAAAACTGAAAAAAAATGATACAACTGAATGTCGAGTGCGGGACGCTTAGGATTTAGAAAAAAAACCCAGAAAATCAAATGCTTGAAACTTCAACAACAATTTTTTCGAACGCCCATTTGCAAAGTTTTAGGACAACCTTTTTCGACATTCCACTTAAGGATACATTGATTCCTACACCGGTAAAAAAACTTCACTATTCGGGATTTCTACGATGGTAACATCGGCTCTTTGCATTTATTAGTCATAGGAGTTTTTTTTCTTATCTAGGAGGGTGCTGGCCCCCCACGTGGAGATATGCAGACCCACTGTGTTGGCAGCAGTGGGGGACTTGTTCTCTGGGGAAGAGGACTCCCTGATGAGCTCTGCAGGCTGTGTTGCTTCCTCATTCCGTCATCATCCATCGCCCAAATGTCAGTCCCAGTTTCATAAACACTCTTTAATTCTACTTCTTTCGATACTGTTATCTTTTTTAAACTTACGTATGAAAAGACCCAGATCAGTTAGTATCAGATGGTATCAGTTGTTAAAGAATCGAATAGTTTAAACGAACTCTAACGATTCTGTTATTTTTTATCTGTAGGGGGACCGTTTAACGCGTATATCGACTGGCAACAAGCACACACACACCGAATCCAGTCATTCATGAGTAACATAGCATGAGAGTAGCCTTACGCTCTGCTACTCGTAACAAAATAAAACATCGAAAGCAGGGGCGGATTTAAGGGTGCACGGGGGGCTTTAGTATGCTTTAATGGCATCCATTGTCGCCTGACCAACGCTAATATTTTTTTTAAGCCGCCTTAGGCGCCAATTTTTACAAACTTTAAAGGGGAACGTGCGCCAAAAGAAGCAGTTTTTTGATCAAAAACTTCCAAAAAGTGCCCAAAAACGGAAATTTTGACCTTTTTTTTTCTTTTCTTCAAAAATTTGCAGTACCACTTTCTCTCGTCAAGGGTAAAGAAATTTATTTATGAGTCATATGATTGACGAAGACGCTCTCTAGGTGGCTCAAGTTTTTGGCAATCTGCCAATAGGAGCCTTGATTGACGATATGTAGTGAAAATCTCCGTCCGTAGGTTGTTTTTTTTTACTGAAAACAACTTCGAGATACTATCGATCGACACTAAAAGGAATTGGGTTTTTATTTTTACTCCGACGGAACAGGCGAAGACAAGTTTTGATTGTTGGCCCAGATCCGTGAATATTGTTTGGGGTTTTGCAGATATGTTTGGAATTAGCTTCTAGGATTGGAACTAGATAACAACAATTCCCATGTGGCTGCAAAGAAAGAGAGTGGATTTCAAGTGTTATAGTTATAATCTGTCAATCCAGCTGGTTAATTTTACTAATTGATATTAGTCGAACAAATACAATTCAAAAGTTTGAAAAGGTTTTTCTGATCTCTTATCATTGTAGGTTTTTTTGTAAATAATAAAGTTTGAAGCTGTCAGTAGCCAGACAATTACAAGCAGTTCCAACTTATCGGTTGAATAAGCGGCTTCTTGAGGAGTTCAAGTACATTGGGTCGAGTGAAATGGGAATCGACTTCTCCCAGGTGACAACTGTTCTAATAAAGGGCCGAGGCTATTGTGGCTTCTGTCTTCGTTCATTCTACTTTCTGTGCTAAGTACCCCGGGTTGCCCACCATAGAAGATAATGCGCAACCATGCACATCCATGCATGATTTGCATGGAAAATGACTAATCATACGTAGCACATACGTTGGTTTCGAAAACCCTCAAAATAGTTTTTGTTGTTTAGCTATTTAGTTTTTGAGAAGAAAAAGGAGCGCGCAATGAGGTTACATGGATAGTAGCCGATTATAACTGACTTGTTTTATGGTCTGTCTCCACAAAATTCTAAAATAATTGATTATAATGGTTAAAAAATCCGATTATTAACCGCACTCAGTAAAAAAAGAAACAATTAGAATATAATGGACTATTATTGTCAGTCTCCGTAAATTTCAGAAAAAATTGATTATAATTGATCAAAAATCGATTATAATGTTACTATCTTTACACTGGATTATAATGTATTAATTATAATAGATTATAGGAGATTTTCGGAAAAATTCTAATTAATTTTAATTGATTTTAATTTGATAAATTGTCACCAAAAAGGTTGTCAATATAATGGGTTATGAATCGTTTAAACATCTAGAGTTGGCGCTTATAATAATTATAATTTTGCTAAAAAGTACGATTATATTTACATTATATCGATTATTTTCTCTTTTCACTGAGTGCGGGTAACCAAAAAAAAGAAATCATTTGAAGCCAGTACGATCGGTTACTATGGATTATAATGGATTGTGATGGATTGTATTATAATGGATTCTAATGGATTATAATCGATTATTTTTGAAATGCAGGAAACCTGGATTTGCAAAACTTTCCCGTACAGGTTCAAATTTTGAGCTTCGAATCCTATTCTTGAGCTTCAAATCCTATGTCATTTGAGCACAGACTCAAATTCTATTCTTTTGGCATGAAGTCTACATTGGCTCCTTGACTAGATGGCAGTAACTGGCATAAAAAATTTTTTGTCCCATTGCTGGCAACTTTTTGCTGAATTTTCCTTTTGTTAAAATTATATAGCAAATTATTTGCTGAAAAACTTGCTTTCTTTGATTATTTCTTCGTTTTCTTAAATCTATCTAGTAAAAGCATTTTTTAACAAAAGGGAATCTTTAATGGCTACTTGACAAGAGTTGCAGTAAGCGGCGTAATGATTTTTTCCCGCAATCTTTAATGGGAACTTTTTTTGCCGATTTTTCTACCTTTTTGATTTTTTTCTTTGCTTTTTTAATTCTAATTTTTCTTTGCTTTCAAGGAAAAACTCTCTCAGATTAAGCAGCATGCTTTTTGCTTTTCTACGAAACTTTTTCCTTCTTTGTTTTTTTATTAGTAAAACTCGATTTCATTCCTAACTAGCAATCTATTATTTCACTTTTAATGAGTTTTTGAAATAAAATTTTCAATTCTGTTTTTCATTTAGCTGGTTTTTTTTGAATCGATTGAAAAAGAATGTGTGTAAAAATGGCTGTTGCATTCTTTTGAGCAAGTGTTTTTGTTTTAGAATGTCAACTTCTATTTGTTTGCAGAAAATGCCATTTGAGCACAGAATATATTGCGGTTAACTTCTTTTTGGCTTCCTTTATAAACATGTCTGACGTGATATTCAAATATTTCGTTATTCAATTTTTGTGCTTGCTTTCTCATGCTTTATAGAGTTGCATCCTTTCAACGATAAAATTATTTTCCTCGTTAAAAAATTTGTTCGCACTTGAAAAAAGTTTTCCCAAAACTGTTTTCATCGTCTATTTGCTTTTTCTTTTTTTTTTCAGTGAGAAGAATTTTTTCCTGCAATTTTAGCTACCAAATTTATTGCCAAATTTTTAAAGATTTCATTTTTTAAAATTTTTTTATTCATTGTTAGTAAAGACTTTTCTTCCTTCAGGGAGCCAGCAATTGCTACTTGACTACAGCTTCAGTAACTGCCCTTTGCTCTCTTTTTGGAATCATTACTAGCTGTTGTTTGCCGATTTATCTATGTTTTCTTATTTTTTCCTTGCTGTTTTTTAATTTAAAAAAACTCTTTCCACAATTGCTTCTTGGCAAGAGTGCAGTAATTGGCGTAGTGCTTTTTTTCAGCGATCGTTATTAGCAATTTTTTGACAAAATTTCGACTTCTTGATTATTTCTTTGCTTTTATTCAGTTTTCCTCTATGATAAACCGTTTCTTCCATCAGGGCCGTAGGGCCTGTTTTTCCGCAATCATTACCATCAATACTTTGCCAAAAAAAAGTTTTAATGATTTTTTATTTGTTAGAGTTCTTTATTGAAAAAACCGTCTTCTTCCGTCGGGGAGTCCATATTGGTTCTCTCGCAAAAGTTGCAGCAACCGGCGTAGTGCTTTTACAACCGCAATCATCGCTAGTAGTTTTTTGCCAAGTTTCTTGCCTTCTGTGATTAAGTCTTTGCTTTTTTTAAACATATTTCAATAAATGGTTTTCTTTCAGCAGAGAGTCCTCATTGGCTACTTGACTAGAGTTGCAGTAACCGGCATACTGCTTTTTTATTCGAAGATTGCTAGCACTGTTTCTGCCAATTTTTTTTATCTTTTCAAATTATTTTTTGCCTTTAATTCTTCTTTCGCGTTGCTTTCAAGAAAAACGTCTCTCAGAAAAGCAGCGTTCATTTTATTGAGATTTATTTTTTTTTAGAAATTCATCTGTTTTTTATCAATTAAGTTTGAATTCATTCCTATCTAGAGCTCTAATTTTTTTTGAATTTTTACGGTTTTTCGTTGTCAATATTTTTTAATCTGGTTTTTGTTTAAAACTGTTTGATTGAAAAAGAATGGGTCATGCAGTTGCAGTTGCATGTTTTTTATATTGGTGCTTCGGTTTTATAATTTCGTCTGCAGTGTCTACTGGTCTAATGGATGCAAACAAAATCTAATTTGTAGCAATAAATGGCTTTTTAGCAACAGAAAATTTTGCTAAGAACTTTTTTTGGCTTCTTTAATAATACTGTCTGTTACGTTTTTGGATTTTCTGTGATTGCTGTGTCATGCTTTATATAATTGCCTTTTTTAACTATTAAATTGTGTTCCGCTTTTGAAAAATTTTTCAAACTCTGCCGAAAAATTATTGAGCTCAAACGTGAGCTTAAAGTCGTCTTCATTGTCTGTTTGTTCCTTCTTTTTTGAAGCACAAATAAAGAAACGCTCCTAGAAAACAAATTTGGAGAATGATGATTTTAATTTTTTTGCACTTTTGAATCGTGGGATTTCGCACATACTGTTTTGTTCTTGCACAGTTGTAACTGAATAGTTTCTGGTTTTGCGGAGGATTGTCGCTATCCTCTCAAGGTTTTCAATTATTTTAGCATAGTTTAAAACCTGGGTTAATCAGATCGGCCTATCGAAACTATTTTTGATAAAAATATAAGTATATTTTTGGGTCTTGTGATTAAAGGATAGTTTCACATTACGACAAAAAATACTGGGCTAAATAGTACGAATTCAAACTGTACATGGTGTCTGTGTGTTCTTGCATCTAAGAGACAAATTTTTCAGCACAGTCCAACATGCAAGTGGACTCCGCGCTCAAATAACTGCAACGTTAATTTTGTCGACACATAAGTTTCGTTGCGGTTTCTTTAACGAGCGAATATAGGTTCCGCAATATTCCGCAAAGTGTAAGCAAAGTGTAAGCAATTTCCGCAAGTTGTACGCAAATTATTATTTTCCTGATAGTTCGTGGATTCCGCTTACATTTTGAGGATTCCGGTAACAGTTACGGATTCTGCAACAGCGTTTTTCATACAAATCTGTTGATTTATTTGTAACTCTACAAACTGTTCTGGACTCAGCAAAATTTTTCGCGGATTGCAAAAATTTT